TTGGGATTTGTGTGGATTAACCAGCAGATTTGCCCCCGTGTGATAAAGCCCATAGAGTTGGAAGAGACCACAAGGGTCATCCTTTCCTAGCCCCCTGCCATGCAGGAATACATGGGGCCTCGGCAGACAGCTAATTGTGCCGTCTCCGAGGCCCGGAAGAGGAGGAGCCGCCACACGTTCGGTGGCTCTTCCTCTTCCTGAGGGCGCACCTGGAAGCGCCGGGAGATAGAGAGTCAAGGCTTTCTCCCACACCCCACAGGTTATAATGGTGCAATTAATTGGAGTGGAGGGAGTAACAAATTTAAAAAGAGAGGGAATCTGTACTTTGAGTTAATTCCAAACAACCAAGGAATGGTTGTAATCTAATCGACCAAGTAGGAAGCTTTATGAGCACCAATTTTCTGCTGTTGCAGTGTAAGTTGGGAAATCAGCTTTCATATATGAGATGGGCATGGGACCAGTTTGGTTCATGTTTAAATTGTTTAAGAGGAGGTACAGGAAGGTGGAAGAAAATGACAAATAGGTAGAACACCTTAAGTAGATTTCACATCCTCCAGCAAAACTGCCTCCCCACCCTATATTTCTGGACATTACAAGTATTAAGACCCCCCCCCTGACAAGTTGGGAGGGGCCTTCTATTGCGTCGGCCAAATAAGGGCGCTGACACGTGATTGGCTTAGTAGACCGGAAGGCCCTCCCCTTCCCGTCTGTTTGGCCAATAGGTAAAAAGTCTTGCTCCTGAGTCTCGCGAGATTTGCGGGGCTATAAAGCCCCGCGTTGCCTCGTGGCATTCAGCCATTTTGATTGGGACGAGCAACCCATCCCTCCCATCCTTAAGTAATTGGTTAACATGTTGTGGACACTCAGGCTGCGGCTAGTCACCTTCGGGGGCCGGGAGGGAATTTTCCCAAAGTCTCAGACTGGGTTTTTTGCCCTCCCTGAGAGTAGCGACATTACCAATTATTTAGTTTGTTAAAGAAAATTATTGTATTAAATGTTGAGTGAAAGTTATGAGGGATAAAAACTTAACCAAGGGTTGTAATTTTATTTGTTTGAAATTCAATTTAGATAAGTTAGTTTGTTACAACTGGAGATGTTGGGTCTATCATGTTGTTATTGAGGAGGACTGACTGGTTGGCGGGCAGGGACCCTCCCCCCTGTAGGGAATTCTTTAGGTTATTTGGAATTATTAATTGGGATATAATAATAAAGAATGTTGGTATATGTCATGCGATTAAACAAATTTATATGATATCATATTAAACTTAATGTCATAATCTGGTAATGTCATGAAAATGTTTTTGACATCATATCCGGTTGGGGAGAGGTTATGTATTTGTTTTGAGATTACTTAAAGGATTTGACGCATGCTGCGTTAAAAGTAAGTATTCAATAGCGATTGACCTTAAAATATGTGCACATGTGTCAAATAAATTTCCTATTAAGTAAAGCTTATATTTATTTTTAGAAAATTGGTTAATTATATTGGTAGTTAAAGTTGTGGCCAATGTTTCACCCATATTAATCGTGTTAGTGTCCTTTGTGCTGATGCAAAGTCTATTTCTTATTTAAAATGTTCTAGCCCTGACTGTTGGTCATTCTGCCTTCAGTTAGGAAACATGCACCAATATCTTGTGTTTATACTATGTTTATATTGAAATCTTTTGTTTGTTAATCTTAAAGAATATGGACACATAGAACTAATGGAACTTAGATAAATGCTGACTTATTGATTCAGTGGATGTGCCCTAGATAGGACTAATGGCTTGATTCATTTATGAGATTTATGTCTTTGCCAGTGTGGCGTAATGGTTTGAGTTTTATACAACAACTGTGGAGACTAGGGTTCAATCCCCAGCTTGGCTATGGAAACCCACTGAATGACTTTGGGCAAGTCATATGTTCTCAGCTTCAGGAGAAGGCAATGGGAAGGCTTCTCTGAACAAATATTGCCAAGAAAACCCCATGATACGTTCACCTTCGGGTTGCCACAAGTCAGAAATGACTTGAAAGCACACAAGAAGAAATGGACTTATGTATGCAGGAATTAGAATTGGGCAGTTTTGTAACATCCTTATCCAGCCTTAGAGGGCTGTTGTTAGCATACTAGGTAGCAGAGCTGGCAAAAGTACCCAATGTACATTACTCACCAATGTTTGTGTCTCAATATGCACCTTCACAATTCTCTAACGGGGCTTCTTAGTGCCTAAAATTACAGTAAATAAAAAGGTAAAAAAAATGAATTTGGAGCTTTCCAGTTCTAGCTCCATGGGCTTCGTCATCAGGCAAGCACATGGAGACTTCTTGAGGAATCCATTGTTCTCTGTCACAAAGAGGCCTGTGACCTCACTGGAGCAGAGACATATTGGATTGAAAAAGAAGGGTCCCTGTTGAGATGAAAATGGATTTTAAATTTCCTGGACTTTGCAAATCTCCCTATAGCCACAGGGCCAGAAGGAGGAGTAGCCTGCCTACAAAAGATATCTTTCTCACCATACATCATCTCAACTAAAGACTGGAACAACATGTAGGCATCTGACTAACATCTCCAATTGTTTTCTCCTGTTTGGTTTTTAACATCTTGCCTGATGAAGAAGCCCATGGAGCTTCAAAAGCTTGCAAGAAGTATATTGTGCATTTTGGTTGGCCAATAAAGGCATCACTGATGAATTTTTGTTTGAATTTGTTTGAACACAGCTACCTCTGAATGTTTTCTGTATTGTGAGATATCACATTGTAGCTGCAACAGGGGAACCAGGAAGAATAGTCTGTGGACTGGGAACTTCAGTCAAAGTAAAACAATTTTCTTCTTCTTAAATTTGGACTGAATTCACATGTTTTACCTCTTGTTGTTGTTCTTAACCGCCCTTGAGTCAATCTCTATTCATGGTGGCCCTATGGATGAGACATCTTCAAGACCCTCTGTCCTCCACTGCTCTGCTTAATTCCTGCAACCCCATACCCATGACCTCCTTAATAGAGTCCATCCATCTAGCCTGTGACCTTCCTCTCTTCCTTTTTCCATCCACCTTTCCTAGCATTATTGTCATTTCCAATAAATCCGCCCTTCTCATGATATGTCTGAAGTACGACAGTCTCAGTTTGGTCATCTTCAGTTCCAGGGAGGTTTCTGGTTTGATCTGCTCTAGGACCCATTTGTTTGTCCTTTTGATTGTCCTCAGCACTCTTCTCCAGCACCGCATCTCAAATGAAATGATTTTCTTCCTATTATATTTCTTAACTGTCCAGCTCTCACATCCATATATGGTAATAGGGAATATAATAGCTGATATGATTCTAACTTTTGTTCTGAGTCTTATATCTTTGCATTTTAGAATGTTTTCTAGTTTGTGTTGGAAAATGTAACTTGTGTGTAAATGTATAGATGTGGGAAAGTGACAAAGGGTTTGCAGGTCACTTCTGCAGCTTGTTAGCTAGGACACAAAACAAAACAGGAGATGTTCAATGTCAGGATGTGTCTGGGAACACGTAGACAAGTGGTAAACACATTAGGTCACCACGTTTGGTGGGAACTACTATCCATGTGACACAGGAAGGAGTCACAGGAAGAGGCTGGGTTTTGAGGCCACATGCCAAGTGTCTATAAATGATCCGAGTCCTCAGCATGTAGTCTTTTTGCTCTTTGGTCCTTGGTCTTTGTCTTTGTTCTTGTTCTTGTGCTTGTAGGGTATTTTTGGACATAATGCAAATAAGAATTAAAGTGCCTCTTTGGAGAAACCTGTCTCTGATCTATTTTTCTGGGAGACTGGAAGATTACATTCCAGAGTAGTGAAACATCTCAAGACTGGTGACTTCACAGAGAAGAGGAGCAGGCTTCCAGAAGATTTATCTGTGCACTCAGATTGCTACAACAGTTTGTTCATAGCCATCCTCCCCATTCTTAGTTTGATTTCCTGACTGCATTCCTCATTTCTATCAATGTTTGATCCCAGGTATGCAAATTCTTTTACTATTTCTATTTCTTCATTGTCTAGGTTGAACTTGTGAAGGTTCTTGGTGGTCATTATTTTTGTTCTCTTTATGTTCAACATTAAACCTATCTTTGCACTTTCTTCTTTGATCTTCCTTAGTAGGTATTCCAGGTCTGTGAGGTTTTCTGCTTGTACTATGGTGTCATCTGCATATCTTAGATTGCTGATATTCCTTTCTCCTATTTTCACTCCTCCTTCTTCTGTGTCCAAGCCTGCTTTTCTTATAACATGTTCTGCATATAAGTTGAACAGATAGGGTGAAAGGATGCAGCCTTGTCTGACTCCCTTGCCAATTGGGAATTATTCTGTTTCTCTATGTTCTGTTTTGATAGTAGCCTCTTGTCCTGAGTACAGATTCTTCAACAGGGCTATCAGATGTGTTGGCACTCCCATGTCTTTAAGGGCATTCCATAGCCTTTCATGATCTATGCAATCAAAGGCTTTGCTATAGGGCCTCTGCAGACCGGCCCAAGGGCCAGACTAGAGGCAGAGATGGGGTGGGGCAGCTACACACTGGCTGCACCAACCCCACGCCAATGCCATCCTGATGCAGGGCACTGTTACGCATGGTGCATGGTGTCAGGACATGCTTCTACTGCAATGCACCATTACGCATTATAGCGCACCATCAGGACACCCTTCCAGTGCAGCATTCTGACACACTGCACCAGAAAGGGCGAAGAAGAGCCACATGCTGGCTCTTAGGGAAGCCTTTTGCCTCCCCTAAAAAGAGCGGCATTTTGCCACTCTTTTCGGGGAGGCAAAAGGGAGGATCGGAGGTGTTGCATGTGGTAGCCATAGCCCCGATCTGCCATTTTCCAGGGTGGCCCAGAGCCACCTGTCTGCACCCACCATAGTCTATAAAGCACATGCTGATTTTCTTTTGGAATTCCCTGGTGCACTCCATTAGCTATCGTAAGTTTGCAATGAAGTCACTCATACCTCTTGCTTTCCTGAATCCCTCTTGGACCTCTGGGATTTCTCTCTCTATGTATGGTTCGGGTCTATGTTGCAGAATTTTGAGCATGATTTTACATCAACATCACCAAAATATTCCTGATGCAAACACATGGAGACTTCTTGAGGAATCCATTGATCTCTCCCACAAAGAGGCCTGTGGCCTCACTGGAATGGAGACATATTCCATTGCAAAAGTGGGGTCCCTACTGAGATGCAAATGGAGTTTAAATTTCCTGGACTTTGCAAATCTCCCTATAGCTTCAGGACCAGAAGGCAGAGGAGCCTGCCTACAAAAGATATCCTCCTCACCATATACCATCTTAACTAAAAACTGAAACAACATGTAGACATCTGGCTAACATCTCCAATTGTTTTCTAATGTTTGGTTTGTAACTTCTTGCCAGATGAAAAAGCCCATAGTCTTTTGCAAGACAGTGATCTTGCACAAACAGAATATCTAATACAACTAACTAAAACAACAGCCTTAAATATTTGAAATAACAGCAGTGGTAAAAACTCAAATTTATAAAATAAAGATCAGTGTCCATTTATTTAAAGGCAAACCAGAGCATTCAGCTTTTTAGTGCCTGTTTAAAAACAGTAAGGAATTGTTACACTAAGGAGTTCTTTTAGGTGAGAGAGTTTTACATCCTATTTCCACTTTACAATACCTCCCCCAAAATTTGGTTTATTAAACCACAATGTTAATGAGCAGTGCACTGGTAGATGTTATGTTTAGAAGCCTGTAGTTCTGGGGAGTAAGAACTAGTTGCCTCAAATAATTTAAAAAGATTCAAGCTTTATTGTTGCTTATTTCCTTCCCTGTTCAAGGCTAGAGTCCACATTTTCCAAGACACACAATAGAAAACATGGGGTGGACTATGTATACTTACTCCAGGATAGGGGTGTAAATATTTGACTACCAGTATTTCATTTGCACTAGCAAGGATAAATAATTTCCACAGTTTTTTGCCTGCTGCAGACAAAGCATATATTTCTGTGTTGTTCTCATCTGGTTTTCTTACACCCCAAAGTGCTTTGGGAAATCTGTCTGTCTGTCTTTCTGAACAAGATTGCTATTTTCTATAAACAAAACAGTGGTCTTGAACAAACAGAACAGTGACTTTTGTGTAAGATTTTTTTTTTTGTAAGATCTTGCACAAAAAAACTTGCAGAAACAAAAACTTGTGCAGGAAACAGAAATCTTGCCCAACTGCCATGCTGGTTATCAGGAAACGGTTTTTGTTTTGTTTTGTTTTTAAAAAAACAACACAAAGAATATGATTGTCACCGAAAGAACCTGTGTATATTTCTGCGTTGAATAATTTAATGAAAATCTTCTGGGTATACAAATACAGGGTAAAAACTTCACAAAATTGTCACCACTTTGTTCTTCTTTTCAGCCTGGTTTCCTGCCTATCAGAAATCCCCTCCCCTCACAATTTTTGCCAGCATATGAATACATTTCCATCTGTAGTCCATGACTTTGTAACAAATGTGGTCTAGACCAAGAAATGATCTGATACAAGCATTACTGTATGTGCTGATATTGATCATTCCACATGTATTTCCAAGAGTGTAGTAGTTTGAGTGTTGGGCTACAACACTGGAGGCCAGGGTTAAATTCCCAACTTGGCCATCAAACCCACTGGGTAACCTTGAGCAAGTCACATACTCTCAGAGTCAGGGGAAGGCAATGGCAAACCTCTGAACAAACCTTCCCAAGAAAACCTGGTGATAGGTTGCCTTAGGGTCACCATGAGTTGGAAACAACTTGAAAGCATACAACTCACACACAACACATATGATCCTGGCAGGGCTGGTTATATCTTTTCAAAGAGTTAAATAGGGCATTCAGGTGGTAGGTAGGAAGCACCATTGAGCTTTTGGAGAAGGTAATTCTATGACCCATT